TTAATGAGGAAAAAAAAAATACTTAAATGATTTTAGCAAATGGCTGCAATATAACAAAGAGTGAAATATTTAAGGGGGTCTGAATACTTTCCGTACCCACTGTATATATATAGACAACATATACTGTAAATGTGACCCTGGACCACAAAACCAGTCATAAGGGTAAATTTTTTGAAATTGAGATTTATGCATCATCTGAAAGCTGAATAAATAAGCTTTGCATTGATGTATGGTTTTGTTAGGATCGGACAATATTTAACAATCTGGAATCTGAGGGTGCAAAAAAAAAATCGAAATATTGAGAAAATCACCTTTAAAGTTGTCCAAATGAAGTACTTAGCAATGCATATTACTAATCAAAAATTACCTTTTGATATATTTACGTTAGGACATTTACAAAATATCTTCATGGAACATGATCTTTACTTAATATCCTAATGATTTTTGGCATAAAAGAAAACCCCAGCGACTTAAAACTGGTTTTGTGCTCCAGGGTCACAAATGTGTAGAACATGGACCCTTTACAATCAGTACACTCATGGGAGCACCGTAAATATGAGTAGTCAATGTCCAGTACAAACAACACAAAATAAAATGAAAATGAAAAAGATCAGAGGCTGATGTCATCGTTGCGTGGGTACATACTGTGAACTGTCTTCATTGTTTATTCTTTTCAACTCTCGGATGTGAAGATTTCGCACCCTCTCCAACCTCTCCAGCTCTGCCTGAATCTCTGCCTCCTCCTACAAATGCACAAATAAGGGTAAATTTTTTGAAATTGAGATTTATGCATCATCTGAAAGCTGAATAAATAAGCTTTGCATTGATGTATGGTTTTGTTAGGATCGGACAATATTTAACAATCTGGAATCTGAGGGTGCAAAAAAAATCGAAATATTGAGAAAATCACCTTTAAAGTTGTCCAAATGAAGTACTTAGCAATGCATATTACTAATCAAAAATTACCTTTTGATATATTTACGTTAGGACATTTACAAAATATCTTCATGGAACATGATCTTTACTTAATATCCTAATGATTTTTGGCATAAAAGAAAAATCTATAATTTTGACCCATACAATGTATTTTTGGCTATTGCTACAAATATACCCCAGCGACTTAAAACTGGTTTTGTGCTCCAGGGTCACAAATGTGTAGAACATGGACCCTTTACAATCAGTACACTCATGGGAGCACCGTAAATATGAGTAGTCAATGTCCAGTACAAACAACACAAAATAAAATGAAAATGAAAAAGATCAGAGGCTGATGTCATCGTAGCGTGGGTACATACTGTGAACTGTCTTCATTGTTTATTCTTTTCAACTCTCGGATGTGAAGATTTCGCACCCGCTCCAACCTCTCCAGCTCTGCCTGAATCTCTGCCTCCTCCTACAAATGCACAAACGCATGAAGAAAACATTTATAAAATCATACTGTGGTGTATTCTGCCACTTCTGCCATAGGGAAATTAGAAAGTGGATAGAAAGCAACGGGTAAGGATGCAGTTTTTTTTTTTTTTTTAAAGAAATTAATACTTTTAAGACATTAAATTGATCAAAAGTAACAGTAAAGACATTCATAATGTTACAAAAGTATATGCTGTTCTTTGGAGTACTTCTGCAGAAACAAAGACTTCTTTTTATTGTTTTTACATGTTCTGAAATGCACGAAGATCTAAATCATACAGGAGCCACTGACCTTTTTGAGATGGCCGAGTCTCAGTTTGAAGATCTCCTCCTGCTCATGGTACTCCGCTAAAGTTAGCCTGCAGGAACATCAGAGGAAAGAGATAAAAAACCTCCATGCATGCAGTGGGCTAGGAAGAGTGAAAAACAATCTCAATTCTGAAGGAGCTGATGCCATTTCTCCACACTGGCTCCTTAGAGACTTGTGTCGTAGCAGATAAAAAGTTATTTTTCCATAGAGTGGAAAGAAACATCATCTAAAATGATCATCTGGCTTCCTAATAAATCATGTCCTGCAATTCATCAGAAACATGTCATTCAAGTGAGTCTAACATTTTGACTTCCAGCTTAAAGATCTTCTCTAGGATTTTCTGGCAAATGAAATCAGTTATTTGTGAATGTTAGTGATGCTGAATTCTAATAACTCTACTGCAGCTTTTAGCAGCACTCACAGCTGAGGAAGGCTGGGTTTGAGGAAAGGGTCGTTCTCGGAGCCGTTCACAGCCTTGGTCTTGCGTGGTTTGGGCTCAGAGTTGGTGCTGGGCGACTGTGAGCTGCTGGCTGATGGGGGTTTTCTCTTAGCTAACAGTTTCCTCTGTCTCTCGATTTCTTCACGTTGTTGAATGATCCATTCCTGCTGTCTGCAGAAAAACAGTCAATGAAAGACAAATCTGTAACCTGTAATCAGGGTTGCTGCAGGATTTTTAAGCTCAAATTTAAGCTTTTTAAGACCTGCACAAATAAAATTAATTCCATATGAGCGGGGTAGGGCAATGTCTATGGTAAACTATTAAACTGCAAAATGACTGTAAAAAGCATGATTTACAGTTCATACAAGTTTTCACAAAAACTTATAAACTTATAAAATTATACACTTCACATTTCAGCCTTTCAAAAGAGACAAAAGTATTAATTATTATATTATTTTAACAATTATCAAATTGTTTACAGCACTGCGTGTTTGCAGGGTAAAAACATGGGTCGGTTTTCACATTGGTCTGAACAAAAGCAACCCAATGTTCCCGCAATACCGGAGGCTGCAGTTCAAAGACCCTATTTTTTAGCCAGCGCCATCTAGCTAATTCTACTCCAACAGAGGAAATCTGATTCAAACATCAAACAAACAGATCCAAAGACTAGAACCATGGAAACTATTCATTTTTTATCTTTCCATCTTATTTTAATGTAAGAGCTGGTGTGAACTTGAGTGTTCGAGGGGGTGTCAGCAATCTCCATTTAGCCTATTTAGCTGTGCAAAACAGTTAATTGTGCTGCTAGATGCTGTAAATTAGTATTCATATTCAAATTATTTTACATGTATTAAAGTACTATTATTAAAGTGGGTCACACATTGGAAGTGAAGCTGCGCTGCGGCTAATGAACTGACGTCTCGCACATTCACAAGTCTTTCTTTCCAACTTTTTTCTGAATTTAAAACCAGAATTTATATAGAATATATTGGGAAAAAAGTAGGTTAAATATTATATTTGTTTAGGTATGTTTAGGGTTAGGAGTTGGATAGCACAATAATTAAGTGTACACAATTAAACAACTACATAATTCCGTAAAAATAATATATACAATTGAATAGCAAGTGCTATAAAATAGTACGAGCCAGTAAAAAATTTTTATATATATATATATATGTTTGCGAGTAGGGTATTCCTGCAATACTGGAGGCTGTAGTGTTAGGACCATATTTCTACGACCTATATATTGCAGGAATACCCTACTCGCAAACAACAGCCTTATTGAAAATTCACATTCATTCTCTTCCAGCAGGAGGCGCTTTTGGAACGGCAGAAATAGAACGGTTTCCACGGTAACAGCAGAACAAAGCAGAGCAGCAGCTGACTTTGATGTTTATTTAATGAAAACAAATCCTTTTGAAGTTTAATCGTCACATTAAGCTGTATCGCAATTGAGACAAGACACTATCTTGTCTCCATTGGCAACACGCACGATTTGTGTCGATTGCAAGTGACGTCGCAGGTAGCGGAGAGTGCAAGTGGCGATTGCAAGTGACTTCGTAATTTAGTTTCTTTTTTCTTGTCTTCACCACCTGGCTACTGTTGTAAAATGTTGAGAGATTCAAACAAAAAGTAATAAAAAATAGAACAAAATAAAAAATAAAGCCTGCAAGTGACGTCGCTAGCGGAAGCGCAAATGTCTGAGAGTGCACGTCTGAGAGTGCAAGTGTGAGGCTGCAAGCAGACCCTTCTCCATGAAATCCTAATTAAGACTTTCTTGTACAATTTGAGACTTTTTATGACCTTAAATTTGATACAAGTAAATTTAAGACTTTTTAAGGACCCGTGGAGACCCTGTGTAATGCACTCACTTATGGCTATACAAGAGACCTACTATAGATGAGTGAAAATTTGAGTGAAAACAGACAATTGCTGAGGGACTTTAGTCCAAGGTATTGTAAAGTGTTCATGCATGCATAGTAGTGTTTACTTTTATAAGGCTAGAGAGGACTGCATGTGCAAATACAGAAGTATACTTTGGGCTTGTGCTGTCAATCTTCATTAAGCATCTTACTTGACGAGGTTCTGGAAGGCATTGCCGTCTGTCCACTGCTCTGTAAACGAGGCTCCGTGTCTCACAGAAGTGAAATGACCCAAACGCAGTCGATCCTGCATGCTCTTCTCCCGACACGCCTGCTTCTCCTGTGTGCTCTGGACAAATACACACAGCTTCAGAAAAATCGTATTCATTTTACTGTTGCAACTATTAAACGTTAAAGCTTGTGGTTAAATGATGGCATTTTACACAGCAACCGTGAACATTTACAGATGAGCACTGGGTATTTTTACATTCAAAAGGTTTCTGAAATACCACCAGGATGCTTCACCTTCTCAATCAGAAGTTTTTTGCTCATGGTGATGCACTTGTTTAAACGTTCTTTGTACTTTTCTAGAAGCTTTTGCTGCTCATCGATTTGTCTCCTAAGATCACAGTTTGCCTGCACAGAGGAGGAAGAAAAAATTACACATATTATAAAAATAAAAATATTTTTTAAAAAGTTAGGGTTACACCAAGTCTGATGCAACTAAAATGTTCAAGACACGAGTGATTTCACATCAAAACCATTTACAACAAATTTGTTTTGGAATCATTCTTATTAATTAAATCTCACCCGCAGAAGATCGTCTATCCTGCCCTCTTTCTTCTCCAGGTCCAGGTTCTTATTGCTCTCTATAGTGGCCAGTTTTACCACAGTCAGGTCAGTCTACAGGACAAACAAAATACAAACACACACACACAATTCAACAACTTATTCATGATAGATATTCTTCAAATAGTCATTTTTTGTTACAGGGCTTCATTTGTGATCAAAACTGATTTCCCTTTTTTTATTTTTTGTTATATGAAAATTAAATGACAATGGTCATGAAAACCTTTTACCATGCATTAATAATTTCTTTGTGCTTCTTTCCAAACGCCTTTAATTTGTAAATGTTATTGTTTTATCATTAACCCATGCACATTTTTTATAAATATTTAAACTCAAAAACATTTATGACAGCCAAAAAAAAAGGCTAAATAAAATATTTTTGAGATTTAGTTTTTTCACTTTTCAAAAGTTAGCAGACTTGTTTACCAAGAAGAGTGTCAACTACAAAAAAATAAAAAATAAATATACTTGCTTAATTGTTCTAAAACAACTGCCAATGAGATTCTTTGGTTATTTGAGAGTAAGTGCACTTATGCAGAGTCCTACCTGAACACTCTTGACCACCATCTGTCTGGTAGAAATCATAGAGTCCACAAAACACAGACTAGTGGGGGACGAGCTGCTCTGCCGGGTCTGAAACACAACATTAGACTGTATAGTAATGTCGTAGTAACAGTGTAGTAGGGACTCAACGATTATATATTTTGATATACAAAAGTCCATCTCTCCTATTGGAATAAAAAAAAAAGGGTGGCCTCTTCTCTGTAAACATCCATGACAGTATTTCCCTTTTGAAAATAACTAATTAAAAAGTATTTAGTGTTTTCACTTTGTACATTATTTCTTTAAGACCTGAGGCACAGAACTTGGTGAAAAAAATATTGTTAGTTTTTGACTTATGAATAAAACAGGGATAATAAATACCAATGTTAATGAAGTATTATTAAAGGGGTCATATGATGCTGCTAAAAAGAACATTATTTGGTGTATTTGGTGCAATGAAATGGTTTTATGTGGTTTAAGGTTCAAAAACACATTTTCCACATACTGTACATTATTGTTTCTCCTCTATGCCCTGCCTTTCTGAAACACGTCGATTTTTACAGAGCGGCCTTTTGACAAACAAAACAAAATTGCCTTTTTCTTTTTATTAAACAGTAGTTTACAGAGTATGGCTCTCTCTGTAAATAAATAAAGTCTGTCAATACTGCTGCAACACTGGGGGGGAAGAAGTCTGATGCAACTAAAGACATTGAAATGCTTTCACTTTTGGATGCTTAATATACATTTTATTCAGAATTATTATGCTCCTATTCTATGACGACGACGTGACATGTGGCCAAGTATGGTGACTCATACTCTGCATTTACCCATCCTAAGTGCACACACACAGCAGTGAACACACACACACCGTGAACACACACCCGGAGCAGTGGGCAGCCATTTATGCTGCGGCGCCCGGGGAGCAGTTGGGGGTTCGGTGCCTTGCTCAATCGGCTCAAGGTGGGAGAAAGCGCTGTACATTCACTCCCCCCACCTACAATCCCTGCCGGTACGAGACTCGAACCCACAACCTTTGGGTTATGAGTCCGACTCTCTAACCATTAGGCCACGACTTCCCCTTATCGCGTTCTGTCTTTTAGACACTCATGTGCACATAGGTGCTTGTTAAGTGAAGTCTGTGAAGTTTATTTATTTTTCAGATGTGTTCACAATATCATATTTTTCAATATTTGCACAGACAGAGATTCCACACATGCAGTGGTTAAAACTAGGGATGCGCCGATCCGATATTCATATCGGGTATCGGCTCCGATAGTGCCATTTTTCTCGGATCGGGTATCGGGCAGAGAGGGCCGATCCAAATTCGAGAATTTTTTTTTGAGTAAACAAAAAAATATACTAGCCAATGGCGATTCAATTGCCAAGGTGTCCATTGAGGGTTGACTGTATAAAAACAGTTCGTGCTGCACTGTATTTGTTTTGTCCTATCGTATCTATCATATGTTGTTGCCTTATTAAAAAATATGCTATACATTTAAAAGAAATGTATTTTAATTTTCTAGTATAAACTTATATATAAATACATTCATGAATGTTTTTAATGAATGGATTTTATAATAATACAAATAGCAATGTGTAACATTTTACCATATTTAGTGCAACACATATTTGTTCCCCACAAAATATTGTTTTTTCAGTAAATGTTTGGATTTCTAAAATTGTGCACTGATTTTTCTAGAATAACTTTTGCTGACGAATTATCCACTAACCTAGTTTATAATTTTTTGTCATAGATTATAAATATACATAGGCCTATATTTTTTCATATTTGTTTATTTTATTTTTCTTTATAATGAAGTAGTCTGTATCTAGTAGATTGTGAAAGAATGATTATCAGTTCCACACACAGAGATATATAAATTCGACATTTATTTAAATGAGGGAAAAAAACTTCACTGGTATCGGATCGGTATCTGTATCGGCTAATACCGAACCCTAGGTATCGGAAGCGGTATCAGAAGCGAAAAAGGCGGATCGGAGCATCCCTAGTTAAAACAATGCTGCATTTCATTCAGTACACACTCAATTGAAAGACCTGTATCAAACATTTCCTGTACAAATACACGTACCTTTACGCCCCTAATTAGCGTTAAGAGCATCCTGACATCAACATGAAGCAACACACATTCAAAGTTCAGTTAATACAGATACTCCACTATCTTTTGAGCACAGAATCTGCTCAAAACAGAATAACACAGCAATGCATGGAGTGATGAAATCAGAGACCCTCCTTTCACAAGTGTTCACAAGAGACGCATGTTGCTACCAGGTATAACTGGTGGTCTGTCTGTTTACTTGTGATCAGATCACCCGAGGCAGCTCTTAACAGCAGGTGTAAACAGAGTATGAAAAGCCTCGTTCAGACTGTCAGCCCAAATCCGATTTTGTGCATATCCGGATGGAATCCGATTTGAATAACTGACTGTCCACACAGTGTATCGCACTATCGCAATACAGATATTGTCTTTCGACGTGACAGCATGTTGCCGTCGCGCTGGATTATTATGAGGCAGCATCAGAAACGCAGGAAGCTGGAATGTGCGACTTTATTCCGTGTTGCCGTCTCCGCTTATTTCAACACTCAAAGAGGTGAGTATACAAGCGGAAAATTGTCTTTTTCCGCTTGACTTTGACAGTTCGCAACAACACACGCTTGTTTCTGCAAAGACATTTATTATGTTTTCTACAAAAATGTCTGACGTTTTTACGTTTTACGTGGCGTGAGATCATGAAAAAGCTAGGCTAAATCCGATCGGAGCGGTCAGACTGAAACTGATTTTCAGGAATGCGATTTGAATAGGATTCCAAACCATATACGAACGTAGCTCGAAACAGATTTGCACAAATCGGATTTCATGTAGTTCATTGGCGTTCAGACTATCTAAATATGATCGGATTTCAATCGGATTTGGGCTGACAGTCTGAACAAGGCTAAAGAGTGTGTGACGTACGCTGGATCCCGGTGCAGAGGGGGAATGCGAGTTCTGGGGTGAACGGATGACTGGTGGAAGACCTCTTACTGGACTGGACCCATTACCACCCTGACACTACAGATAGAGGGAAATAAACAAATCATATGGTTTTAAATGATGCAGTTCTAGACACCACTCCACTGAACACCACATAGACGGTCCTTTTTGGAGTTTATATCATATGCTTTCACTGCATGGAACAGCAACTTGTTTTCACTCCGAGTGAAGAAAAACCATTTGCGCTTGGAATGACATGAGGGTGACTAGATGACAGAAATGTCACTATGGTTTAACTTTTTTTTTTTTTTTTTTAAGGTGATGGCGTAATATTTTTCACGTTAAAACACTTTCTGCTCTCCCAGCTTAATGTGGAGAGAATTATAAAAACACCACACTTAAAACATTGTTCAGTTTGAGCATCGTCCTGATATAGTAAAACTGGTTCAAATTTGAATCAGACCAACCCTTTTTCAATTAATGTAATTTTGTGAATTAAAAAATAAATCCTTGCGTCTGACTCATTAGTTTGTTCATCAGAGAAGTCTTTGATCAATGTAAAATATTTCACCACCTCTGAAATGATTTTGATGTAACCAGAATATAACATTAATTATATTTATATTTAATATTAAATCATTAAAAATACTACTCTTCACTATCCAATTACATCACTAAAAAAAAAATTAAGTCCACCCTACATTATTTCCTTAACAATCTTCTGTTTTACTTGAAATTGTTACGTTAACTATGCTGCAAATATGGTTTCGTGTTTTTAAAACAACATCATCCAAGCTGCAATCACTACATATCAGTTACGCTTTCGTTGAGCCAATGCCAACGATTTATCATATGCTTTCATTAGCTTCCCCACAAATTACTGACAGATACTCACATCAAAATAATCACTAATTTTGGGTCCCCGAATGACAGACTTCCCTATGAGAGAAAATGGAAAAAAAAAAAAGATGTATGATAAAGCATATTAAGCTAAACGTAAAGAACATACTAGAAAAAAGAGAAAGAGAGAGAGAGAGACAGAGACAGAGACAGAGAGAGAGAGAGGGAGAGAGAGACCGAGAGAGAGAGAGAGAGACAGAGACCGAGAGAGAGACAGAGACCGAGAGACAGAGACCGAGAGAGTGAGAGAGTGAGAGAGAGAGAGAGAGACAGAGAGAGAGAGAGAGAGAGAGAGAGGGAGAGAGAGAGAGAGAGAGAGAGAGAGACAGAGAGACAGAGTGAGAGAGAGAGAGAGAGAGACCGAGAGACAGAGTGAGAGAGAGAGAGACAGAGACCGAGAGACAGAGACCGAGAGAGTGAGAGAGTGAGAGAGAGAGAGAGACCGAGAGACAGAGTGAGAGAGAGAGAGACTGAGACCGAGTGAGAGAGACAGACAGAGCGAGAGAGAGACAGAGAGAGAGAGAGAGAGAGAGAGAGAGAGACAGAG